AAAACAGGACAAATCAATGTTTGAATAAATGCTAACAAATCAATTAATATTTCCATGCATCTCTCACTATCAAGTCTAGCTGAAATTGAAACTACAGTTGATGAAACTTTATTCTAAGCCCCTTTGACCTTTACAGGTTGCCCTCTATGATGATTTTTTTTGGATCCTTTCTTCAAAATGTGTAGGCTTCCATGCCAAATATAATGAAATGCTTGTTTTGCCCTTTGTAACATACCGTTAGCATTTTTTGAAAAATAAAATGTAATATAAACATGACAAGTTAACAGCAGCATCATATACAAATAACTGCTAGAGATACCAATCTTTTACTTACTTTGGTTGCTCTATCAAATACTTTTTTACATACTTTTGTAGCTTTGTGAAACATGCTAATACTCTGTTTAAAACTACAAGATACACATTTTAGTTATGATATTTCATAGGCACAGATTAGTTTGTAAATTGGTATGTCCACATGTGTAAATATAATTCCTTGACTCATTCTGTCTTCCAGACTATATTCAGTCTTATGCATACATAAAGATATTATGATTCTTTCATTTTACAATAACTGACCTTATTTAAAGAACAGAATAGTGATAAAGAAGACTGGTTTCACACATGCAGATTTAACTGAATTTAATCAATTTAAAGCTCTCACCATTGGTAGCATAGCTGGCTGACACTATATTTAGCACAAAAAATTTCAGTATGAAAAATGATTGGCACAAAAAAATCCTCTCTTTCTCTCCCTTCCTTATTTTCCATTGAAAAAGATAACGATTGATTTGTATAATTTTCCTGTTATTTGAAGAGAAAGGAAAAAAGTGAGAGAGCTATTTTTAAAATAGAAGTGTTGTTTTCATTTTGAGATGTTACACTTTCAACAGTAACACTTAAAAGGATGCGTTACTTTTAACTTTTTTAAAAGTTTTAAAAACTTTTAAAAATTCCCACCCCCAACTTTTCTCACGGAAAGCATAAGGCAAGTAGTCCTTTATTTTCATTGCACAATTCCTTTATATTTAGGAAAGTAGGGCTGGAAGGGACCTCATGTGGTCATAGAGCCTAGCCCTGCTGCTCAGGGCAGAATCATTCTTAACTAAACAATCCAGTCAAGTGTCTGTCTGACCTGTTCTTAAAAATTTCCAGGGATGGGGATTTCATGGCCTCTCTAGACAGCCTGTGCCAATGCTTGACCACCTTCAGTCAGAAAGTTCTTCTTAGGCTGCAAACAGACATCAGTTCTGTGCCACCACGAATTTTTTAAGGAGAGTAGTGGAAATGATATACATTGACTTTAGCAAAGCTTTTTATAGCCTTAATCCCCAAGTTAAATTTCCTTTGCTGCAGTTTGATGCCATTGCTCTGAGTTCTGTTACCTACAGCCACAGCCTCCAGCCTCATTATAATCTCTCTTCAGGTATTTAAAAACTGTTATCAAATCCATCCTTCAGTCTGCTCTTCTTCAGACTAAATGCACCTTGTTTTTTCAGCCTTTCTTTATAAGTCATCTTTCCCAGGCCTCTAGTCATTGTTTTTGCTCTTTGTTGAATTCTTTCCAATCTATCCATGTCCTTCTTGAAGTATGGGGCCCCAAACTGGAAAAAGTCCTCCAGGTGAGGCCTCATCAGTGATGAATAGGATAGAAGAATCACTTTAATTGATTTGCAAGTAACACTCCTATTATTACAACCTAGTATGCTGTTGGCCTTTTTGCAACAGGAGCACCGTGTTGGCTTATATTCAGTTTATGGTCCACTGTAATCCTCAGGTCCTTCTCTGTGCAGTAACACAGCCTAGGCAGTCATTCCCCAGTCTGCATTAGTGCATGCAATTAGTTCGTCCCAAGTAACAGACTTTGTGCTTATCCTTGTTGAATTTTATCTGGTTGATTTGTGGACAATTTTTCCAGTCTACGCAGGTCATTCTGGATCCTAAGACTACCTCTAGAGTGTTTTCAATTTCACCTGACTTGCTGTCATCCCCAAATTTGCTAAGTGTGCTCATGATCCCATTGTGTAAATCATTAATGAAGATATTAAACTATACTGGACCCAGGACAGACCCCTGGAGAGTCCTACTTGATTCCTCCTCCCAACTAGACATTGAACCATTTGATGATTACTCACTGAGTAGATCCAACTACACAACTACATACAGCTACCATCTTCACGCCTTCCTGGTCATAAACTCCCACAAAAGACATGTGTAAACCTGAATCGACTGTGATTGGGCTATAGAGCCTTCAATAAAATCAAATATAAAATGGATCTGACAAACTCACCATCATGCCCCTGTGGCAAAGGAGATCAGACAGCCCAGCATATACTAACTGTTCTCTATATGGTCCACCAGAGGAAGCAAGCAGTCTGAAAGATTGCAGTAATATTGACAGATCTGCACTTAAATGTTTGGAGGAGTCAACTTTCTGAAGTCATACGCAAGAAGAAGATCCAACAAATTATGTATCTACTTTGCATTACTTTTTTCTAGTCTATTTCCTTAGCTTGTTAATGAGAATGTAGTGGAAGACCATGTAAAAAGCTTTCATAAAGTCAAGGCATATCATACTACTCTCCTTCCACCCCCAGGGTCTGTCACCTTATCATAGAAGGAAATCAGTTGGTCAAACATGATTTGCTCTTAGTGAATCCATACTGCCTGTTCCTGATCACTTTGAGGGCCTGCTCCATGATCTTTCCAGGTATCAACATCACATTCACTATCTGTCATTCCCCATATCCTCATTCCTCTCTTTCTTAAAGATGGGCACCATTTTTGCCTTTTACCAGTCATCTGGAACTTCACCCAACTTCCACGGGTTCTCAAAGAATGGCTCTGAAATTACCTCAGTCAATTCCATCAGTACTCTAGGGTGCACCTCTTCCAGCTATACTGGTTTGAAAGCATCTGGTATCTCTATGTAATCCCTAACCTGTTCTGATGCTGCTCCAGGGTTTTTTATTTCTTCTCTATTTTTGCTACCAGCTGTGCTCATTATTTGGTAGCTGCCCCTCTTTATGAAAACTGAAGTAAAAATGGCATTAAATACTTGAGCCTTCTTAGCATCATCCATAGCTAGAGTGCTTTCTGCATTCTATTAGGGATCAATTATTTCTTTGGTCTTCCTTTTCTTCTTGACTTACTTGTAGAATCCCTTTTAATTGCCCTTTATGTCCCCTGCCAGTTGCATCTCAAATCATGCCCTCGCCCTCCTAATTTTATCCATGCATGCCGATGCAATGCAATAGCCTTAAACTCTTCTAATAATATAACCAAGTTTCCACTTTCTGTATGATTCTCTTTTGAGTTTCATCACATTGAAGAAAGTGATGTTGCTCTTCCCATTCTTCTGTTGCATGGGAATAGCTTGTTCCTGGGCCCTTAAAAAGGCCTCCTTAAAGTATAGCCAGCTCTCCTGCACTCTTTTTCTTCTCAGCTTTGCCTCCCAGGGGAAAGTACTTCCAGTACATTGTAGTACTCCTTTATTTTCTTGGTACAGTTCTTTTGTATTAGTTTAAATATTGATAGTTATTTCAGGCATTTTTGGTTTGCTTGTGAATAATGTACAGAGAGTGTGAGGTGGAAACTTTCCATCTTTGTTCTGCTAATGAACATGAGGATTCCCAAAGGATATAAAGGTGGGTAACTAATTGGCAGGGCCATGGCTTCACTGTCTAGCAGAACCTTTTGATCCTGTAGGGAGAAACACGCTATACCCAATGAAAGAGCCTAGTTCTCTGTTCCTGGGAGCTTTTGCATTTCGTTCCTGTCACCTCAAGGTATCATTTCAGTAGCTGAGAGAGAAAATTTAGCAGTTTTCCCCAACACTTGCTCTCTGCTTGTATAAGTGACAAGGCTAATTAGTGAGAGTGATTCTTGTTTTGTAGACACCTGTCCATTACGGGCTGAGCTGTTTCTTAAAGGGAAAAGTATAAACTGTCAGACGTAGTTTCTTATCACTGCTCCCTACAGTCCATTTGAACCAAGAAGCAGTTTCTTTTGAGCCACCCAGACCTCCTGCTCCACCCCAGTCATTAGCCCATCCAAAGCCTTTTCAAAACTTCCTCTTTCCTCATCCTTCCTTCTAACACCAGCATAAATAACCCTGCAGCAGCTGTCTTTTTTTCCCCTTTAGAAGATGTATGATCTCCTTCTTTAAATGCTCTTGTAATCCTCTGTTTTCCAAAGAATAGATTCCGATGTTTGTATTAATGGTGTCTTTATGGCCGAGTACAGACAGTCAAAAACCCCAAGGTGGAATGGATTCAATCTGCACAGGTTTCTCTAAACTGCATAGATTGAACTGATATCAAACATAACAAACACTTACTTTTCAGTTGGGAAAAGCAGGCAGAGGCATTAAAGCATGCCTCCCAGCTTGCTGGCCAGCCAAGCCATCCCTGTTGGCTGGCACATGCTCTCAATACCCTGCTGTTCCCCACAGGGGGGAAACAGTCACTCATCTACCTCCTCAGCATCATCCAGGGATCTCCATGCCCTGGTCTGCTTACCTGTGGGGGAGGGGTGATTTTTTTTCCCCCTACCCCACCATGGCTGGAAAGGCATGTCACTGACGCTCAGGAAGGAGGAGAAGCCCCCCGCGGGTCTCAGCCCCCTGAGGTGGGAGGCGCTGGCCACTGTCCTGCTGCTGCTGCTGGGCTGCATCAGGGCATACTGGGTGGATCGGGGGCTTCTGCTGGAACATAAGGCCCAATCCTGACCTTTACAGAGCTAGTGCAGCCCTGCTGCCCAACATAAGCCCTCAGCTGGCCCAAAATGTCCCACCAGAACCTGGCACCAATGGCAGCCAGCAGGATGCAGGGGGAAGCCCCGGAGGGCTTGCAACAAGCAGCAGAGCCAGGCTGGAGTGTGGGGAGGAGCTAGCAGCCTAAGCATGGGACAGGGGAGTGGGGGGGGAAGGGGTGGTGGCAGACACAAGCTTCCCCAGGGACCGTGTCTTTTTTGCTCTCTGCCTCAGCCCCAGACAGTGAAGAAGCAGGCCCAGCACGGAGCGGAGGGAAGAGAGGCAGCCTCAGGGTTCTACTGGTTGGAGTGGAGCCCAGGGGCAGGGGCACCTAGGCACTGGGCTAGATCAGTGAGCTGTGTTCCTGCACGTCTTTTGCAAAGGTACTTGGGATGCCAGGGGGCTATACCTAACCTGATTTGGGAGGGAATCTGGGACAGAAGTTCCATAGATTGGTTTAACCTAAATCAGTTAAATCTGATTCTATATCCATTCAGGTCTATCTTAAACTGGTTTGGGCCATTTTGAAAGCTGTTTATGTGCACTGAACTTCCGTTCTGTTACAGGTTTGAACTGATTTCTGATCACTTATACCAGTTTGTGTAATTTCTGTCCTTAGCCTATTTTTTTTACAGTGGAGCAAAAGTAGTTTTAGGTATCTTACTGCAGTACTGTGAAGTATTCAGATAGGGGAAACTTCCAGTTCTCAAGCCAGGACATAAGTTATTTTATTATGCAGCCAACTTATTAACTTTAGTCTGGGGATCTTTCTCTGTTGTCTCCCAAAAAGCATATCATTGTTCTTTATTCCGGTTTTAAATGCAGCACACTTACTCCATGTATTTGTTTAGGATACAAGTAAAAGTAACTGGAATCTTAGTATAACCAATGAGGAAGTGTGTGTGTGTGTGTGTGTGTGTGTGTGTGTGTGTGTGTGTGTGTGTGTGTGTGTGTGTGTGTAATACATAGTCTGATGTGCATTTAAACTAATACTTCACAATTTGGCTAAAACCTTGCATAGTAAGGAAAAAAGCCTCCGTGTACACACTGACCATCAGAAAGAAACAAGTCACACCATGTCTCTTCATCTTACAAAAGCAATATTGTTAAATACCAATACCTCACCTAATTCATGATGGCATTAACAACAGGAAGTACTGCATGCTTCTGGAACTCTTTTAGTATGTGTTTACATTTCTGTTTCATTTTAAAAGTACCTTCCTTTGTTGGCAAGAACTTGTTCATACACTTGTCAAGCAGTCAGATATTCTTTTTGTAAATCCAGGTACGGAATAGGCTCTGTTTAACACACCAGCTGAAAGAACTGGGATTTGAGAACGGAGCTTCAATAAAGGCTGCAGTAATTTTCCTAACGCTTGGAGCAAAGGGAGATCAGGAGAGAAATTGTGATTCTCTGATCCAGTTTGCCTGTGGCTAGATGTAAAGCCTCAATTTAGCCCAACAGAAAAAGTAAGGTTTTTATAGCCTATAGATTTTTAAGCTTCTTTGAAACATTAAATTACTCCTGATGCCCATGAGTGTCCTATTTAATTATACACCCTTGACACAGGGACTTCCTGAAACAGTATCAGCTACCCCATGATTTCTCTGTGTGCATGCCCTCTCTATGTACTGTTAAGTTTGCTTATGGACATTTTCTTTTCTTCATCTTCTTTCTCTTTTCTGCTTTTATTCCCAACACCTAGTATTTTTAGGTAGGCTTTATAACATAGCTGTCCAACTTCAAAGCAGCTGAGGGTCACACTCTCCATGGGCCTCACCAGTGGAGGCTACACACCACAGGGGTGGCACTGGGGGGCCATGGGTCCCTTGGGCCTCACGGCCCATGCATGTGGGTGCAGGCAGGCACCCTATTGCACATCATACACCACAGCATGCTGCCTCACCTCAGCGACCCTGTGGCACTTCACTACATGGGCATTCCCAGCTGCTGGATCCTTCAGCAGTATGGGTTGTGCCACTTTCTGCCATGCTCCCCCATCCCTTGGGGCAGAAGCAAGCAGCAAAAGACAGGATAAGGAAGGGGAGCTCCAAGACCCCAGTCGCTCCAGCAATAGGGGCAGCAGGTGCTTGGGGGCCCATGAGAACTCCTCATAGGCCTCATACAGCCTGCTGGCCACCAGTTAGACAGCCCTGCCTTATATGTAGTCCTCATTCCAGTGGAAATCTTATGCTCAGCTTCCAGACTATACTGCTTATCCTTCCTTTCTCCTCACTGTTTCTCAACTAGGATCTTCTGACAATGCCTATAATTTAAGTGTTTCTGGGTACATCTACACATGCTCTTTTAATGTACATTAGCCTATTTTAACATGCATTAAAGCATCACAAAAAAATCCGCGTGCTTTTGCTAATGCGCATTAAAATAGGTTAATGTGCCTTTTTCTAGTACCTTACAATGGAGGTACTAAATTTAACGTGCATTACCAAAAGTGCATTAATGAACGTGTAGACATGCCTTTTGAGTTAGGTTTGCCATAGAATAATTTTCCTAAGCAAACTGGAATCCTCATTATTTAGAACGTTTAAAACAAGTTCAGACAAATCACTACAAAATATATTAAAGGGAACAAGCCTGGACCGGCAAAGGATTGACTTAAAAAACTTACAAATCTTGTCCATTAATAATTTTTCAATTTATTGGCTGTTAAACCAGTAAATACATGCCTATTGTTTCTAATCCGCCTCCTCCTCCCTCCCAGCCTCCCATCTTTATCTTTGGGCCTTTCCATAGATATGAATCTAGTAAGTGACCAGATGTTTCAGCTTGAATATGTTACAAATGCCTAAAAAGGACTTATGCTTTGAACCAACAGCTCATTGCTTTCTGTCCTTCGATATCACTTACTTTCAATCTGTCTACAAAGACAGAAACAGTCTATCCTCAATTTTGGCACACCAGTATTATTGCTCATGAAGTAAAGAAGCTTATCAGAGGACAAACATTACAACTTAAGCTCTGGCTACAATAAATAATTTGTTCTGAATATTATTTATTATATACCAAGGGACACAGTTTAAAAAGAAACAATAGGTCAAACTGACATTTGCTAAAAGTAAGCCAGTTCCTGAAGTTTTACAGTTGACTGAAGTGGGAGTAAATGAAAAGTGTAGGAAGAGACGGGGGGTGAAATCCTAGGCCCTGTGAAGTCAGTGAGGCTTTAACTGGGGTCAGGATTTTACTTTTGAACAAAATTCTGATTTTGAAGGCAGCAAATTCCTCAGTAAACTCCAGAGAAGTAAGTGATACTGGTATATTTCAGATCAGTATTAAACTGAGGCTGAGTTCAGAATTTTACAGTCAATTCTTTTGGATTACCAAAGAACAAGATAAAGCATTTTAAAATTGACTATTAGTTCATTGACTGAAGCAGTGCTGTGCTTACTAAACATATTAGGTTTCATTTACATTAACAGCACAAATTATATGCTTTAGAGAGAGGTAAAACTAGGCATATACTGCAGATATAAGATTAAAAAAAATATCCCAACTAATTAGAATATTTGATATAAATCCCCCTTTCCTCTCTGATTTCCATTATTCCACCATATACATTTACAGACGAAACTATTTAAAGGAAATGAAAGATTAAAATAAAAAGAAACCATAAATAACAGTGATATATATGCTTTGACTTGTAGGATGAAATGCAAAATAAAAATAGCTACATTTCCATCTTAGGAAGTGGAAAGATCAAATAAACCAAATGAAGTCAGGAAAAGAGCATTATTGAAATGAACTGAAATAAAAAGGGTAAACTAGATGATTTAGACAAGATTTGTCACATTCTGACAGAGATATGGAGTGTAGCCTGAGGACATTTTTAAAATGGCATCTGGTGTTTGCAGATGTTTGTTTTCCAAATTCATCCCTGCAATATCTGGAAAGCAATTCTAACATGAGGGCTGTCAGGTGATTAGCACAAAGTGTTAGGAAGTTTGCAGTTAGCAGTTGGCCATCACTCAGATCTGTATCAGGTTGGGCTTTGTTATCAACTCCAAAAGAGACATCTGTGCTTGGAAGACAGGATACATTTAACCTTCATTGTCCTTGCAAAGAAAGGAAAAGAAGAACTGTTTGAAGACCAAGGAAATGATGTAAGGTTCAAATTAGCAGGCACTGGGCCTGTGTGAAGCAGCTAGTATTCACTTCAGATTGGGATTCAGCTGATTCAGGGGACAGTGATTCGATGATTTGAATTACTGTCCTGATTCAATTTGGCCAAATCTGATTCAGAGATTTGGCAGCAGCCCAATCTCCGAATCAGCCAGGCCAGGCCCATCCCCTGCCCCTCTCCCAGCCAAGCAAGGGCTGCGGCACTGGGCCTGTGTGAAGCAGCTAGTATTCACTTCAGATTGGGATTCAGCTGATTCAGGGGACAGTGATTCGATGATTTGAATTACTGTCCTGATTCAATTTGGCCAAATCTGATTCAGAGATTTGGCAGCAGCCCAATCTCCGAATCAGCCAGGCCAGGCCCATCCCCTGCCCCTCTCCCAGCCAAGCAAGGGCTGCCCCGCCCCAGCTCCCAGCACTTGGGGGAAAAAAAAGCCCTGGCTCAGCAGGTGCTGCTGGGCAGGGGGCAATCCCTGCTACCCCATGCTGTATGGGGGGCTCTGCATGAACCCCTGAATACCCCCACCCCACTCCCCCAGCCCCCTCACGAGTGCCCTGCATGGGCCAACTCTGGCCCTTTAA